TAACTACTTTGATGTATTACACGTGTTTCATCCACCCTGCGCTTTTCTTTGAGATGTAACTCTGTATATTCTCCAAGCCATATTTGTATTCCTATTCCATTCAATGATGAGATACCTGAGGATAAAGAAAAATGTGGAAAACATTGTCTACATATTATGTGTCCAACCTATCTCTGTGTTAAAAGGGTTATTTTCTTTCTAAAGGTTTCCCTACAGATTCAGGTAGGTACCTCTAAATATTCTCTAGGATCTGAGATCCCTTGCAGAAATAGGGATTTTTGTTTTCTCTCTGAGAGCTTCCATTCTTTTGTTATATCTCATTGGGTTCCAATCACGTCCTCTAACCTAATAATGACTAAACTACCACCCTCTTTCATAGTCTCGTCTTTAATATTGGTTGGCTTCTGATATTTTTTATTTTTCATTTGTATTGTCAATTCTACCCTCTAAGAACACAACCTTTCTTCTAAAGAAATCCTTTCCTTCCTCCAGTTCAATCGACCTGTCTTTATTCATTTTTCACCCTCCCACTGCTTCCATCTTGATTTCAAGACCTAAATATATTTTTGAAACAAACATGATTCCTACTTTATTTCCTCAAAAAACTTTATTCCTAGGGAAAGAAGAATCCACACAAAGTCTTTCAAAATACTCTTCTTATTCTTTGGGGTTATAATGGTGTTGCTTCTCTCTACCCCAAACCCATATATAACAAACATTTGGATCCTCTTTTTGTATTTATTATTAAAACCCACCATTACTCTGTGACTGAACACAGATTGAGTCCCTGAAATTTCACTGTCAGGGCTTACATAATCAACATATCTGGCACCAACTTGGGGCATAAATAGGTGAATATGGATACCCCCTTGTGAAAGAAAGAACTTGACCCCTCCCAGAGACCTCTCCCTGACCCAATAAAGGATGCAATTCAAATTAGGATAAAAGGGAACCAAATTGGGTGGAATTGATCTAATGCCACCTGCTAATCCCCAGGACAGTTTAAGCCCTACTTTAAGGGCTAGAATTGCCTAAACTTGTGTTTTGAAGTTCACATAGAACTTAAAGTCCTCATCTACAATTCTGGCTGACAATAAAGGTGGCACAAGTTGTCCCACTCAATAGTGCTTTTTCCTTCTGTAGCAAGCCTGTCTCAGCTGTATCTATGTGAATCAAGATTAGCCACAGTGGCCTGTGCAGCCCTCTTTTGCAGAGTCCTATGTCCAGTACCTCTTAAAAAGGTAGCTTGGGTGTGGAAGCTAGTTACTATAAGCTGCTAGGACTCAAAAAGGCGAAAGAACTGAACAGTCCAAGATCACTAAACTGCTAAAGCTCTATGCCCTGGCGCATCAGACGTCCCATCTCCCCACATCTAATTTTGGTTCCCTGATTCCAGTTAGAGAGTTATTTCTCAAGATAATTCTTAATGTATATTTGCATGTGTTGGGGCTGAACGGAGAAAATTAATCATATCCCTTTCCCATCTAAGTTCTCAACTGAGTAATAGCTATAGGAATCAGACTAACAAGGGTGAACTTACTAGTATTTTGTTAATGAAGCCATACGTATGACCAGAATTGAGCTTTCTAACACCATATCCCTCTCCCATCCCTCCCAATTCCTGATATTGGGATTACCCACCCAAAGGAGAATATACAAAGGAAACACTTACCTGCAGAGCTGCAAGGGGACACGGCTGCTCCAAAAGTGGAGACAGAGAGAGGTGCTCTTCAGACCTGCCTCTGGAAGGCAGGCCTGGGCCTCAGCAGGTGTGCTTATTAGGTGAACGCTGGATCTGAATGGACTGCATACACATTGCAGGCAAAGAGGTACAAAAGAAAAAATGTGTGTGTGTGTGTGTGTGTGTGTGTGAGAGAGAGAGAGAGAGAGAGAGAGAGAGAGAGAGAGAGAGAGAAATGACCCTTTTCCCTGTGTCTCCGTCAGAGAACCCAACATTCTTTTGGGGTGAAGTGAGTAAGAGGTAGAAACAGGGGCCAAGAATGGTATCCCAGCATGGTTCCCTACTTGGAGAAAAACAGGAAAATAGGAACAAATGACAGATTCTGTCCCCATGAGTGGGGGCAAGGCCTATATTCTTCACACCCTCCCAGCAGGGGTTGGGGATCCATTTACCTCACACCCAAGATCTGACCTGGAATTCATTCCAGCTTCCAACCCAGAATTCAGAAAAAGTCCTATCAGTAGATTCTGTTACTATGTCATTCCTACGTTAGAACCCAGGATGGAAGGGTGGGGAAGGGCCCAGAGGTTCAGACCAACCAATCCCCAGACTCATTCACTAACTGGGCTCCATCTTTAAAAAAAAAAAAAAAGGCAAAAGAAAGACCAATAAAACTAGGAAGCCCCTTCCAAGACATTTCACCAATTAACTGCTCCTTAAGAGCTGTTTGGTTGCTGGAGTGAAAAAGGGTACTAATACCCAAGACTAAGAAGGACTAGCCTATAAATCTTGGCTCCATTATCTAGCTACTCTAAGTGTTTTGAGTGTCTCCCTCCCCACCATCCCAAGTCCTAGGAGGAGTCATTGAAAGATATGCCACACTTAGATTCACAGAGGCCATCCCCAGAGTCCCCAAGATCGAAGAACCCAAATAAGGACACTGCTTGGGAGACTGAGAATCAAAAGTTGTTTATCAAAGGGTGTTTGGAAAAAGCCAAGCGTTCTTGAGCCCAATTCCAGAACAATCAGTGGGAGTCTCTCTCCTATTAGCTTTGTTGTTCACCTACCCAATGGCAGATCTTCTACTGAAGGAGACAAAGGGGAAATGACAGTCTTCAAGGGGGCCCAGAGCACCCTTCCTATCCAGTTTCAGCTGAGGAGACCAACAGAGCAAAGGGAGGATTCTTCTCCCAACCCAAACCCACCTCCACAACTGGGGGCTTCCTATTCCCATAAGTAGCTCAAAGAGAGCCCCACCTTCCCTGCTTAGTCTGCATCAGGAAATACTGACCTCTTCAAAGTCACAGGGCATAACCTTTGGGTCCTTCGTATGGACCTTTCCCTCACTTAGTGCAGGAGCACTTAGTAGAGGCCCAATGTCAAGTTTTCATCACTCACTCTCTCAAGGAAAACAGAATGCCCAGGACCAGAGGAAGAATAGAATTGGCAGTGAAAATTAATCTACCAGGTCAAAAGAAAGTCTCTCCCCAAATGCCAAAGAGATATTCCCACTCTAAATCCACATGGTGTGGAAGGAGGGAATGGACTCAACCTGCTAAGAAAAGGGCTTTTAAGCTAAGCACAACAGGCATAGTGTTCAGCAGGGACTGGACATTTGAAGGAACTTAGAAGTAACAGGGAATGGGGAAGGAGGGAATACTGGTAGCAGGAAGGGAGAGTGGTGTCCTTTGACTAAGGGCCCAGAGAGAGGTGAGGTGGGGTAACCAAGCCTGAGGGAAGGAGCCACCTAGAAGGCCAGATACCTAAGTTCTAGTCATGGCTTTCGCCAGCAACTCAGCATGAGACTTTGAACTTATCTAGGCTTCAGTGTCTTCATCTGCAAAACAGGGGAAAGCAGTTTGTTTAACTAGATGCCTGTTACGGTCCTTTGAGATTATGGCACCCTCCACAAGATATTCAGGAGGGGGCCACAGGGGCCTTACCAGAGCAGGAAATTCCTTTCAGCCCCATTTCTAGTAAAAAGGTCACATGTACACACATTCACACGTACATAAGCAGAGTGACCGACAACTTCGTTCATAGCAGCAGAGACACATATAGAAAAAATAAATACTGCTGATGCTTGATTCCTGCGTTGGGGCAGAAGGGTCCTGAGGGTATAACTTGGAGGGACTTCAAGGTCAAGGGAGAAGGGTCCTCCTATTTGATAAAAATTTTCACCTTGCTGTTCCTTTCCCAAGTCCAAGTCCAAGGCAGCCAGATCTTTGGAGAAAGCCACTCTCATCTTACCCTCCCCAAACCATCAACTCCTTCGCTTCAAAAAGAAAAAATGCACAGATCCCAAGGGAAATAAACCCCTTGTCAGCCACTAAGAAATGAACAGAATCTACCACACCTGAGATTACTTGGACTGGGCAGCCGGAACCACATGCCCCTATTTCCCTGAATATTAACAATGGACCTGAAAGGTCTTGTTTTGGACCTGTCTCACCCAAAGTCACTTGGGTGTGCCCTCTGGCTAAAAGGGAAACTAGCCTGGACCACTCTTATTTCTGGTTCTTTTATGGTTGTTTCCAAAATCTTAAACCAATCTCACTGTGAGAGTGAGCCAGGAAGTTGCCCTCCCCAGGTACGAATCCAAATGGGAAGAAAGGCTACGACGCAAGTGCAGGGCTCCAAACCACGCAACCGGACCTGCAAACAGACTTGCAACACTCCCCAGACACCAAAAAGCATCTCCCAGTCATACATTCACATGGACTCTTACGTGGCCTCTCCTACCAGAGGTAGCTGGGGCAATTGGGGAGTGGAGGACATCAACCTCCCATCAACCTGGGATCCCTGTTAAAAGATACTAAAAATAAATTAGTAAACATTGCTATTTACAGAAATAGAAATCATTTCTGTTTCCAAAGGCCTCTCACCATCCCAGTCCTGGACACTTCCAAGACTGCCACCCCTGAAACCCTCTCCAAGGTCCGCCCTGGCAAGTGGGTAAGACACTAGAGTCCTTTGAGACTGGGAGCTCCTCAGGCACCTGAGAATTCCAGTTTCACATCTCTGGTTCCAGGGAAGGGAGAATCTTCAGGACTCTGGAGAGTACCGGGGTTCATCCCTTTTTCACCAGTTCCTGGGGGTGTCTTGAGGCAACCCTCTCCCCTTTAGGTTGATACACGTTTCGTAAGAATTCCTGCTGTTTTCGGGCCCCCAGTCCCTCCCCAGGGTCCAACGTGCCTGCCTGGACCCATCCTCCGAGCAGAGGAACCAGTCTGTGCCTTGGTCTAATGACTCTGGGAAAAAGGGATGGGCAAGGAAAAGGCAGGGACAACGGTCTGGGCGATCGTCCTTGCGGGGATGACTAACAGCAATGACTGTCAGACAGGCAGGCGGTGAGGCTGGGCTCCTGGCCGGGGACGGAGGCAGAGCTGTCCACCAGGCTGGTGGTGGGTTGGGGGTCGACGCGGGGAGTGCGACGGCGCCCGCGGTACTCGATCATGTCGGGATGATAGGCTGGGTGGCGACGAGCGTGCTTGGTCAGATGGTCGCTCCGGGAGAACTGCTTGGGGCAGAGGGGGCAGGAGAAGCGCTTCTCGCCCGTGTGCGTCCTGTAGTGGCGGGCCAGCTCGTCGGAGCGCGTGAACTTCTTGTCGCAGTCGAGCCAGTCGCAGGAGAAAGGGCGCTCACCCGTGTGGGTGCGCTGGTGGGACTTCAGATGCGACGACTTGTAATAGGCTTTGTTGCAGCCCGGAAAGGGGCAGCGATGGCGCTTGGCAGCAGGTGTAACCGGCCTCCGACGAGGGACTGGACCTGTTGCGGGGGCGGGGCCGGCCCCAGGGGCCACGCCGGGGGCCCCTCCGGGGGCTGCAGGCGCTCCGGAGACCGCAGGAGCGCCGGGGACCCCGAGCGCGCCGGAGGAGTGCGCGGGTCCGCAGACATCGGCCGCGCTGGAGCCCGGGGTCGGCTCTGAGCCCAGGGTCGAGCCGGAGCACCGGGTCGGGTCGCAGGAGCCGGACGAGGCGCGCAGAGCTTCCCCCGAGTTCTCCCCGAAGCCCTCCCCAGAGCCGCCGCGCAAGTCAGCCAAGACGCTTGCAGCCAGCAGGTGGGGCGCGGCGCCGCCCGCGCCGGGGCTAGGGGCGGGGACCTGGGGGAGCAGGGGGACCGACGCGGGTCCCGGTGGCCCCGGACCCGGCAGAGCGGACTCCGGCGGCGCCGCACCCACCTCAGAGCCTGCGGCTCCGCCCGCGCCCTCGGGGTCCGGCGGGCGGCGGTGAACCACGGCGCCCGCGGACATGGACACCAAGCACTCAGCGGCGAAGTAGTCCAGGCACGCCACGGCTGCCGACATGCTGGCACCGCCGGGCCGCCGGCGAGCGCCGTCCGAGCGCGGCCGGCCGCGGGCGAGAGAGTTCTCGGGAGCGTCCGTCCCGCAGCCTCGGAGCGAGAAGCAGGAGGCCCGGTGCGCGCCGCCCGCCGCCCGGCGCCGCCGCCGCCGCCCGCGCGGAGCCCGCCCCGCCTGACGCGCCCCTGACGCACCGGAGCCCGCGGGGGCGGCGGGACCCGCCCCGGCCCGCAGGACACCCCCTCGGAACGCGGGGCCCACCGGGCTAAGTCATTTTTAACAGCCTAAGAAATTATCTTGTCTTCGCTTTCTTGCCTCTGCTGGTGAGCCAGGTAATTTTAATAAAGAGAAAACTCCCCGATCGTAACTTCTGGGCAGCCTGCCGGCTTCGCGCCCCCCCGCCCGCTGGTCCTCCGCCAGCTGGGTGTCCGGCGGACTCCGCGAAACTTTTTTTTATAAGGAAAAAAAAAAATGCTAATACCTGATCTGTCTTTCGATTCATAATTACGATTGTTAGTTACGCGGGCTGGAATTGCATTGCATTTCTGTCCACCGCTCTCAGACCGAATTTAAAATATCCCCAAGTCTGCATCAAAAAAAGTTTTCTCATTTAACAGTTCCGCTGTGATTCGGAGTCGGTACCAGTTCCCTAAATAGATCCACTACGTAGCCATTAATTAATAGCATTTCGAACCAGAAACATTTCTAACCTTGAAACAGCAAAGAATCCTCTCATGGTTGAAATTGAAACTTAAAATCCTTTGAGTAACGATTTAACTATTCAAGCAACGAAAGAAAAATGCATGTTTAAACTGCATTAACCTGTCACTGGCATACAAACAAATTTCCACGCTGAAATATAAATTATAGACTAGCAGCGAGATAAACACATTAAAATGGACTCCCACAATTTTAATAATAGAAAGTCACGTTTCCAATTAGGCAACATCTTTTATTTTTCTTTTGACAAAAATTAAAAATAAGAAAATGCAGCCAATGATATAGAATTGCTCATTGTGATTGTGGAGGGGTTTCTTTTTATATAATCAGGTATAGGTTTAATTTATTTTTGCATTTCTTCATTGCTTTCATTTTTTTCCTCCTTTGATTTTTGATCTTTAAAAAATTAAAAACGCATAGAAAGGCAAACAGGATGATTTTTAAAAATAGTCACAGCACGGTTTTTGATGTACACAAGCTTTACTATATAGTGTTGAATTATATGCATTTTATTTGTAATTCTTCAGTACTTTTTCTTTTGGAAATTAAAAATACATATATACCAAGAATAACATATCTTTGTGTATTTACCTCCTAGAATAATCAAATGTACATTATTTGCTGCAGGTTTTTTAAAATTTATATTAAAGATTCCAGATAGAGAGTTGAATGTCACTTTATCTCCCTCCCCAGTTCAACTTTCTCTCTCCTTGCATCCTTAGGTTATCAGCATTATAAAGAATATATTCTTCCAGCATTTGCTTTTATACCTTTATTGCTTAATTACTTATATATATTTACATGTAGATATATATTGATGCTTATGTATTTTAAATTTTCTTTATAAATGGTACACTAGTGTGCATATCATTTTGCAACTTACTTTTTCTTCTCAATAGGATTTGGACAGCTATCCATGTTGATACCTGTAGAATCTGCTTTATTCATTTCAGTAGTTTTATTAATGCTATCAGCTAGATTATTTTTATGGAGATGCCACTCTAAAACAGATGATTATTATAAATCTCCTTGTCTCAACATTTTAGACAATTAACTCAGTTTATCTACACAGGTTAAATTTCTGTCAGAGGCTTCTTTACTAGCTGCTTTTCTTTTAATTTTATAATTTGGGGAAAATGTAAAGCTATTTAACAATGCAGAGAGAATATCACAGGCATCCATGTACCTGTCATGTAATTAGTGAATGCTAACATGTTACCCTATCTGATGCAGGTCTTTTTTTTTTTTTCAATTGAACTGTTCAAGATTTCTGATTAAATTGAAATCTCTTTGTACTCCTCCCTAAAGTCATCCTTTACCTTTTTCTCCAAAAGCAAACACCATCACGAATTTGGTATGTAACTTTCCAATCTAGGTTTTATACTTTTACTATACATGAACCTTAAGAATACAGAATATTGTTTCATTTGATTTTTTAAATGTACATGTGTGGTGTCAGACTGTACATATTCTGACGTGTTTTTTTTCCCCCTTCATGGAATGTTTTTATTCTTTATCTCCATGTTGATAAATATAAATCAGTTCATTCATTTTAATTGCTATATTCTAGATCCATGCATATAAATGTGCCCGGTTTATTCATTCCCCTATTGATGAATATTTAAGCTGCTGCCAGTATTGGAAGCGATGCTAATACGAACATGCGTGTACATGTGTCCCTTGCACATATGTGAGAATTTCTCTCTGTATCTACCTTGATGGGGAATTGCTAGGCTACATGCACAATTTCAGTTTTATTAGAAACTGTCAAATGGTTCTTTGATTTACACATCCACAAGCAGCATGTGAGAGTTCTTGTTCCCCTCACATCACTTTCTTGATTCAGAATTTTCTAATTTCTGACAATTTGACTTTTTAAAAACCCAGCTTCTTGTTGTTTTATTTGCGTTTCCCTCACCGCTAGTGGGGTCGAGCACTTCTTCATATATTGATTGGCTATTAAGGTTTCCAGTCTGTGATTTGGTTTTTTACACACCTCATCCATTTTTTCAATGGGCTGTATATATATTCGTTTTTTTCCCTGTTTGATAGGAGTTTATACAGATAAACAGTATATTGTCTCAGTCTGTGGCTCCTCTTTTGACTGCTTTTGATGTCTTTTGTACTATAGAAAATGTAAAATGTGGTCATATACCTTGATCTCTTTATAATTTGTGTCATTTGTGCCTTAAGAAAGAATTCTCTGCATACCTGATACCATGAAAATAGCCTTTTTGTCTTAATATTTTAAAGTTTGGCTCTTCACATTTATAAAATTGATCACTCTGGGACTTCCTTTTTGAATGGTGTAAATTAGGAATTTAATTTTACTCTCCCTCTCCCCACTGTGGAAAACCTGTCCTCCTGACCTGATTTACGGGACAGTCTTTCATTCCCGCATTCATGTGTCATGCCACCATGACGAAAATTAAACTTTCATCTATTCATGGATATGTTCCTGCCTTGTCCTCTTCCACTGACCAAACCAATTCTGAGCCAATACCACACTGTTTTAATTATTATGGCTTTATAATAAGTCTTCACGTCTAGGAGGGCTTCTCCCATTCCCCCACCTTTCTTCATGTTTGAAACCGTACTGGCTGCTTTTGGACTTTTTTTCTTCCATATTAACTTTAGCATCAGTTTGTCAACTTCCATTGAAAAACCTTCTTGGTATTTTGCTGAGTTAAATTTATAGGTTAAATTTGGGAAAATATAATATCTTTATAAAATTGAGTCATCTAATACCTTAATATCACTCTGATTTCTTCATATCCTTCAATAACAGTTCAATAACAGTTATTATAAACAACATAGTTTATTTATAAAAACTCCTGTAGCTCTTTGTTAGGCTTATTCCTAGGTATCTTACAGCTTTTGTTGCTATTATAAGTGGGCTCATTTAAAAATGTTTTAATTGGTTTTTGATATTGTCTGGAAATTATTGATTTTAGAACAATCTTGTTTTTAGCAAACACACTGAATTTCCTTATTAGTCAAACAGTTTATTTGCAGTTTCTCTCGTATTTTTATATAGATAATCATATTATTTGTAAATAACACTGTTGATACCTGTCCCCTTATCTCATTGGATGGGCGAGAACCTCCAACATATCATCAAATAGTAAGAGTGAGAGCAAGATTATTTTCCTGTTTCTGTCTCATTGAGAATATTTCTTTCTAATGCATCATTATTATTCATGATATTTGTTTTAATTTTTTGGTAGAAGCCCTTTATCAGGTGAAGTTTCTAAACAGTTTCTAAAACTGTTGAGATGATTGTAGGTCTTTGTTATGTTAATGTAATGGGTCACTGACAGATTTTTAAAATATAGACCTATCCTTGAATTCTTTGAGATATACCTTGTTTTGCTATAATGTGCTATTGTTTTTTTAAATACACTCCACATAACTTATGCTTTTTGATTTTAGCACCTCTGCTCATAAGTAATTTGGGCTTATAATTTTCTTTTCTTGCACTGCCTTTGTCCATATTTGGTATCAGGGTTATATTACCCTCATAAAATGCATTTGGAAATATCCCTTTTTGTATTTTCTATAACAGCTTATATGAGATAGGTATTATTTATTCCTTGATTGTTTGGGAAATCTTATCTGTGAAACGATGGTATATGAAAGTTCAACTCAATTTGTCTAATGACTGTTAATTTATTTGGGCTGTCAATTTCTTCCTGAGTCAGTCTTTAAAAATTAGATACTACTTTTCATTCCTGATAGATTTGTGAATTCTTTATTTTTTCTTTTTTGTCTGAACAGAGGTTTGTCTATATTTTTAGATAAACCTGTAAAGGTTTGTCTATAGTCTTTTCACATAGCTTAGCTTTTGTTGATCACGTCTGTTCTTTTTAAATATAGATATTTGTTTAATTTCTGCATTTATTTTTATTAACCTTTCATACTTTTGTTGAGTTTAATATTTTATTCCTTTTTTAAAAAAGACTTTTTAATTCAAATACTTACCACATTAGGGGCGCCTGGGTGGCTCAGTCGGTTAAGCAACTGACTTTGGCTCAGGTCATGATCTCCTGGTTTGTGGGTCTGAGCCCCATATTGGGCTCTGTGCTGACAGCTCAGAGTCTGGAGCCTAGTTCAGATTCTGTGTCTCCCTCTCTCTCTGCCCCTCCTCCTCTCGTGCTCTTTCTCTGTCTCTCAAAAATGAATAAACATAAAAAAATTTTTTTAAATACTTACTAATTTCCAATCTTTCTTATTTTCTAAATAACTCTTTTTCAACAGTTATTATTTTTGAAAGACAGTGGGGGAGG